AGTGGGTGGAAAACAATGTATCATGTTAATGCACATCAAAAGAAAGCTGGGGTGGCAATCCTTATATCACATAATTTAGATTTTAAGCCAAAGACTATAATAAAAGATGAGGAAGGACACTATATTATACTCAAAGGGTCTGTCCAACAAGAAGATCTAACATATTAAATATCTGTGCCCCCAACATGGGAGCAGCCAACTATATAAACCAATTAATAACAAAATCAAAGAAACACATCGACAATTATACAATAATAGTCAGGGACTTTAACACCCCCCTCACTGAAATGGATAGATTATCCAAGCAAAAGATCAACAAGGAAATAAAGGCCTTAAATGACACACTGGACCAGATAGACATCACAGATATATTCTGAACATTCCATCCCAAAGCAACAGAATACACATTTTTCTCTACTGCACATGGAACTTCTCTAGAATAGATCACATCCTGGGTCACAAATCAGGTCTCAACCAGTATCAAAAGATTGGGATCATTCCCTGCATATTTTCAGACCACAGTGCTCTGAAGCTAGAACTTAGTCACAATAGGAAATTTGGAAAGAACCCAAATACATGGAGACTAAACAGCATCCTTCTAAAGAATGAATGGGTCAACCAGGAAATTAAAGAAGAGTTGAAAAAAATCATGGAAACAAATGAAAATAAAAACAAAACTGTTCAAAATCTGTGGGACACAGCAAAGACAGTCCTGAGAGGAAAATATATAGCGATACAAGCCTTTCTCAAGAAACAAGAAAGGTCTCAAATACACAACCTAACCCTACACCTAAAGGAGCTGGAGAAAGAACAACAAACAAAGCCTAAACCCAGCAGGAGAAGAGAAATAATAAAGATCAGAGCAGAAATCAATGAAATAGAAACCAAAACAACAGTAGAACAAATCAATGAAACTAGGAGCTGGTTCTTTGAAAGAATAAGATTGATAAACCCCTGGCCAGACTTATCGAAAAGAAAAGAGAAAGGACCCAAATAAACAAAACCATGAATGAAAGAGGAGAGATCACAACCAACACCAAAGAAATACAAACAGTTATAAGAACATATTATGAGCAACTATATGCCAGCAAATTTGACAGTCTGGAAGAAATGGATGCATTCCTAGTGACATATAAACTACCACAACTGAACCAGGAAGAAAGAGAAAACCTGAACAGACCTATAACCAGTAAGGAGATTGAAGCAATCATCAAAAATCTCCCAACAAACAAGAGCCCAGGGCCAAAACGTTTCCCAGGGGAATCCTACAAATATTTAAAGAATAATTAATTCCTATTCTCCTGAAACTGTTCCAAAAAAACAGAAGTGGAAGGAAATCTTCCAAACTCATTTTATGAGGCCAGCATTACCTTAATCCAAAAACCAGAAAAAGATCCCATCAAAAAAGAGAATCACAGACCAATATCCTTGATGAACACAGATGTGAAAATTCTCACCAAAATACTAACCAATAAGATCTAACAGTACATTAGGAGGATTATTCACCATGACCAAATGGGATTTATTCCAGGGCTACAAGGTTGTTTCAAGATCCACAAATCAATCAATGTGATACAATGCATTAATAAAAGAAAGAACAAGAACCACATGATACTCTCAATAGATGCTGAAAAAGCATTTGACAAGTACAGCATTTTTTCTTGATAAAAACTCTTCAAAGTGTAGGGATAGAGCGTACATACCTCAATATCATCAAAGCCATCTATGAAAAACCCGCAGCGAATATCGTTCTCAATGGAGAAAAACTGAGAGCTTTTCCACTTAGGTCAGGAACATGGCAGGGATGTCCATTATCACCACTGCTATTCAACATAGTACTAGAAGTCCTAGCCTAAGCAATCAGACAACAAAAAGAATTAAAGGCTCCAAATTGGCAAAGAAGAAGTCAGACTATCACTCTTTGCAGATGATATGATACTTTATGTGGCAAACCCAGAAGACTCTACTCCAAATCTGCTAGGACCTGTAGAGGAATTCAGTAAAGTGTCAAATATAAAATCAATGCACAGAAATCAGCTGTATTTCTATACACCAACAACAAGACAGAAGAAAGAGAAATTAAGGAGTCAATCCCGTTTACAACTGCACCCAAAACATAAGATACCTAGGAATAAACGTAACCAAAGAGGCAAAAAAATCTGTACTCAGAAAACTATAAAGTACTCATGAAAGAAATTGAGGAAGACACAAAGAAATGGAAAAATGTTCCATGCTCGTGGATTGGAAGAACAAATATTGTGAAAATGTCTATGCTACCTAAAGCAATCTACACGTTTACTGCAATCCCTATCAAAATACCATCTTTTATTTTTTTTCCAAAGAAATGGAACAAATAATCCTAAAATTTATATGGAACCAGAAAACACCTCAAATAGCCAAAGGAAGGTTGAAAAAGAAAGCCAGAGTTGGTGGCATCACAATTCCAGACTTCAAGCTCTATTACAATGCTGTCATCATCAAGACAGCATGGTATTGGCACAAAAACAGACACATGGATCAATGGAACAGAATAGAAAGCCCAGAAATAGACCCTCAACCTTATGGTCAACTAATCTTTGACAAAGCAGGAAAGAATGTCCAATGGAAAAAAGACAGTTTCTTCAACAAATGGTGTTGGGAAAATTGGACAGCCACTTGCAGAAAAATGAAACTGGATCATTTCCTTACACCACACATAAAAATAGACTCAAAATGGATGAAGGACCTTAATGTGAGAAAGGAATTCATCAAAATCCTTGAGGAGAACACAGGCAGCAACCTCTTCAACCTCAGCCACAGCAACTTCTTCCTAGGAACATTGCCAAAGTCAAGGGAAGCAAGGGCAAAAATGAACTATTGGGACTTCATCAAGATCAAAAGCTTTTGCACAGCAACGGAAATAGTTAACAAAACCAAAAGACAACTGACAGAATGGGAGAAGATATTTGCAAATGACATATCAGATAAAGGGCTAGTGTCCAAAATCTATAAAGAACTTAGCAAACTCAACACCCAAAGAACAAATAATCTAATCAGGAAATGGGCAGAAGACATGAACAGACATTTCTGCAAAGAAGACATCCAGATGGGCAACAGACACATGAAAAGTGCTCAACATCATTTGACATCAGGGAAATAGAAATCAAAACCACAATGAGATACCACCTCACGCCAGTCAGAATGACTTAAATTAACCAGTCAGGAAATGACAGATGTTGTAGAGGATGTGGAAAAAGGGGAACCCTCCTACATTGTTGGTTGAATGCAAGCTGGTTCCAGTCTGGAAAACAGTATGGAGGTTCCTCAAAAAGTTGAAAATAGAGCTACCCTAGGACTCAGCAATCACACTACTGGGTATTTACCCTAAAGATACAAATGCAGTGATCTGAAAGGGCACGTGCGCCTGAATGTTTACAGCAGCAATGTCTGCAATAGCCAAACTATGGAAAGAACCTAGATGTCCATGAACAGATGAATGGATAAAGAGGATGTATGTGTGTATATATATGGAATACTCTCTCTCTCTCTCTCTCTCTCTCTCTCTCTCTCTATATATATATATATATATATATATGGAATACTATGCAGCCATCAAAAGAAATAAAATCTTGCCATTTGCAAAGACATGGTTTGAACTAGAGGGTATTATGCTGAGTGAAATACATCAATCAAAGAAAGATAATTATAAATATGATCTCCCTGATATGAGGAATTTGAGAGGCAGATGGGGTGTTGTGGGGTGAGGGAAGAAATAAATGAAACAAGATGGGATTGGGAGAGAGACAAACCACAAGAGACTCTTAATTTCACAAAACAAACTGAGCATTGCTGAGGAGAGGGGGTATGGAGAGGATGGTTGGGTTATGGACATTGGGGAGGGTATGTGATATGGTGAGTGCTGTGAGTGTGTAAGCCTGATGATTCACAGACCTGTACCCCTGGGGCAAATAATACATTATATGTTAATAAAAATAATTTAAAAAAATATTTTATTTTTAATTTTGTTTATTTGAAAGAGATGGAGATAGAGAAAACATGGATGAGCAGGGGGAGGGGCAGAGACAAAGGGAGAAGCAGGCTCCCTTCTGAGCAGGGAGCCCAATGAGGGACTCAATCATAAGACCCTAGAATCATGACCTGAGCTGAAAGCAGACATTTAACCGAAGAGCCATCCAGACACCCTAAAGTTTTAATTTAAGTAATCTCTACACCCAGCATGGAACTCAAACTCAAAACCCTGAGATCAAGTTGCATGATCCTCCGACTGAGACAACCAGTTTCCCCAAAATGTAATTTATTATAATATGAAGCTTAATTTTTAAGAAAATTAAAAAAAAAAAGATTTAGAAGTATTTAGTTCTTTGCTGTTATAACAATATAATCAAAACCAGAGTTATGCTTCTGAGAGTAATTTCATAATCCTATGGGATGCTATTCTATTCTGTGATAAAAGAAGCATGTAGGTTTGACATGGAATTTCAAGCCCATCTGTAACTGATGTAGTCAGATGTTTAGACTTATTTGATTATTTAGATCACCAAAATTCAAATACATATACTGGAAGCTGAAGTACATATTCTATCTCAAATCAATGAAGAGTTTTCCTGTGTGTCTATCTATCTATCTAAATTTTCTAGTGTAGAAAAATTCTGTTGGAAAAGAAGTACAGAGAAATCAAAAGATATACATATATTAAAGGGGAAAATGATTATTTATTCAAAAAGCTAGAAAATGTCTAAGATTTCCAGCTACTATTTTCAATTATGCTTTGTCTATGAATAGGAGTTTCTTTTAGAGACACAATGTAAATTGTTGAGTTGTGAAGACTGCAAGCTTGAGGCTTATTATCCTAGAGTAGATGACAAATAGCAATACTTTGCTTTAAGAAAGATGATCATTAACAAGAATCTCATTATACTGCATAAAATTAATTATATTCAGAATTATATTTCAGAGAATTGACAAGATTAAATATATAAATTAAAAGATCAAAAACATACCAGATACAGCAAGGAAGTCATCAATGCTTGTAATGTCATCTACAGCTTCGGTGAGGACATGGATATGATTCTCCCACGTGTGCTTATACATTTCCATGGTTTTTTTGACCACTTGACTTTTGGGTCTTGCCGCCAAAGCAAGTGCAGCATTAATGATCTGCAAAGATGTAGAATGTTCACATAGTGATTTCTTTGGAAATAGTTATAATCGTGGAGATAACAGCTATTCTTTAAAATAGAAAATACGTATATCTTTAACAACAGGGAAAATGGCAAAAATGCCCTTGTAACTCCCTCTTCACTTTTGGTAAGAATTTAATTTTATTTGTGGCAATAATTTAATTATTTTTAGAGCTATTTATTGAGTATCAATGCACTAAGAACTGCAAGAGCTACAAAGATAATTGGTCTCTGCCTGTAAGGAACTTCTTTATTACTCAATGGGAAGGGCAACATATAACTCAGTTCAGTATGCAATACATGTCATAACCACAAATAATGGTCAATAGTCTTTAAATAGAAGCTTTAAAGAAAGAGTTCAAGGAAGAGTAACATGTTAACTAGTTATTTGAATTCACATTGTACAATGTGAATATACACAAAGCACTGGAATAAGAGCTTTGGCTTCCCTGAGGTCTTGTAGAATTTTGCAAGTGAATATTCATTATTAATTAACTAACTAATTAATTATTTCATTCATTTGTTCATTTATTTCATTCATTTGTTCAATTCTGATTGCTTTTCATGTATTAAGCATTGTTCTAGATTCTAAGGATATAGCAATAAACAAGACAGAAGCAAAAATCATTGCTTTCATGGAACCTTTATTACAGTTACAGCACAGAGGCAATTAACAAGTTAAATAAGCAAAATATATGATCTGTTAGATAGTTTTAAGAACCAAGGAGAAAAATATATAAGAAGGGGGATAAGGAATGAAGCGGTGGTGAGGGTCGGAAGTTGGTGATTGCAGTAAGGCCTCCCACTAAATTGGCCATTTAGGTTAAATCGCTATTGAAAAAGAATGATGGGACAGAGAAGAGGCAAAATTCAAAAGGAGAGTAAACAGAGGAAATGCTGTGAGAATGGTGAGCAGTCTTACCTAGAGACTGGGTGTACAAAAGAAATCAACAGGAGTACTTAGTGGTCCTGCTCAGGACAGTGCCCTTATTTGGAAGGCACTGAGGAGTCATTATGACTTTCAAGCAATTTGCTCAGAACTAAATTTTAGAAGAATTCATCTGTCAACGGAGGCTACTGCAAGAGGTTCTGGGAGTAAGATGGAGCCTGGACAGCAAGGGTGGAGGTAATGAAAAGGTTTTGATAGAACTTCCAATTAATTAAGGAAGGATGAGGATAGGTCAATTACTGCCAAAATATCATGCAGCCATTAAGAAATCTGTGGAAAATTACCTTCTAAGGACATGAAAATACATCCAACATAGTGCAATAACAGTAGATTACAAAATATTATGCTCCACAGCAAACACTGAAATGCAAATATGCTAGGGATAAAAGTTAAATGAATACATGCACCAATTAACATTGGTTCTCTTAGAGGGGTGGAATTTCCAGTGCTTTTTATTTATTTGTGTGTGTAACTGAATTCTTCAGATTTTTTGTGGTAAACCTTTTAGTTGTATACTCAGAATAAATGAAGCTATTCTTCAAGGAAAGATGATTACTAAGGTATTTCCACCAGTAATGGGGAAAATGATCTTAGCATTGTTGGAAAAAGAGAGTTCAGAGAGTTAAAAAAAGTCAGTCAGGATCAGAGAAACAAACATGTTCAATTGTTTGGGAGGACAGTGTTGAGGAGGAGTGTTAGGTATCAACTTTCCTATTAGGTTGGCTTTGAAGTGACTAGGCTCTCCCACAAGCCACAGTTACCTGAGATAAAGAATTGGACCTCATAAAAAAGTTGTCATTTATTTACCCATGTATTTGTCCATGAAGTGAAAGAAATTAGTTTTATGTAGCAATAATGTAGCAGATTCTACACTGGCAACTGACATCACTATTAAAAAGATTCCACCATGTTTGTTGTTGTTGTTGTTTCTTCTTCTTGTTCTTGTTCTTCTTCTTCTTCTTCTTCCTCCTCCTCCTCCTCCTCCTCCTCCTCCCCCTTCTCCTCCTCTTCCCCCTCCTTCTCCCCCTCCCCCTCCTCCTCCTCTTCTTCTTCTTCAAGATATTATTTATTTTTTTAAGATTTATTTATTTTATTTATTTATTTGACAGAGAGAGAAATCACAAGTAGGCAAAGAAGCAGGCAGAGGGTGAGGGGGAAGCAGGCCCTCCACTGAGCGGAGAGCCCAATGTGGGGCTCAATCCCAGGACCCTAGGATCATGACCTGATCCAAAAGCAGAGTCTTAACCCACTGAGCCACCCAGATGCCCCAAGATTTTATTTTTGTATTTGAAAGAGAGAGAGAGGGAGTTCACCAGCAGGAGCAGGGAGATGGGCAGAGGGTGAGAATCTCAAGCAGACTCCCTGCTGAGCACAGAGCCCCATGTAAGGCTCCACTCCAAGATCCTGAGATCACGACCTGAGCTGAAACCAAAAGTTGGCACTGAGCTGACTGAACCACCCAGGCACCCTGAAAGTCCATCATAGTTTCTAAAGCAGCCCATAATCAAGTAGGGAACTCAGCCAAAAGCCAGACAATTGTAATACTCCAGTGATTCTCAGACTAGCCTGTATCAGAATCATTTTGAGGACTTGTTAAAACACAAATTCCTGAGCCACACCCTAGAGTTTCTAATTCAGCTGATGTGCTTTGGGACCTCATAATTGGCATTTCCAACAAGTTCACTGGTAACAGTGAAGTTACTGACCTGGCACTCTGATTCTGAGAACCAATGCCATATATATAAGAGCTTTAACATGGAGGCTATTGTAAAAGTATCACAAGATGCCCTATAACACATGGGAAAGGTTTCCAAAGGCCTCAAATCTGAAAAATAAGTAGAAATTAGTATAAGGTGATATCCCTTTAGGAAGGGGCAATAACATGCACAATGGTAAGGCAGCGCCTAACATTACCTCCTAGGGAATGTTCAGCAGAGAGGAGACAGTAATAAGAGTTGGAAGAAAATCAAGGCAATAGTAAGAAGAAGAGAATATACCTTTGGGAAGTTCCAACATATAGAAGGAAAATGCAAACTGCAAATGATAAAGATGAGAAAAGGAATCATCAAGAAGGAGGCAGAAAACAAAGGTATTAAAGAGATGAGGAAGAACACCTTGTTGAAAGGATAAATGCTGTAGGAGAGTCAAGAATAATGAGACTAAAACAGCTTTTGGATTTGGAAAACAGGAGTCGATGGTGTAGCAGAATATTGGATACAGGATTCAGATTTCACCAAAATATGATGGCAATAAGAATAAAAAAGAAACATTTTCTGCTCAGTAACCTAACGGCTGCACCTTGCTTAAATGACTTTCAACGAATTATTAGAAGTAGAGGAGGGGAGGAAATGGTTGCTTAAAAATATTATGCTGATATTCTCTCCTTTTATTTCTTTTTTTATGAAAGAGGAACACATTGAATTTTAAGGAAACACACACTGCTTTTAGAAATAACCACTGTGCAATATTCTTTGACTTTAGTTTTAGAATTTTATTAACCTATTAACTTACAATGTACGTTTGTGTAAACTGCAAAGGCTCTGGTCTCTGGTGTTTCATTGTCCCTGCAATTGGACAACTGTGTACACATGTGGTTGTGCTGAAATTATGTCTTCACAGAGAGGCATACTGGTGTGGAACCCTCAGTGGAAATATGGAGTCATGAATATGAGACAGGCTATATTTTCTAAGGACATTTTCAGTTTTGCTTCTGATCCAATTTATCTGATTCAACAGTGCACACTATGAGAAAACTTTATCCTACTTGACTCTCCCAATATTTAGCTTAAATCTAAAAGCAGATAAAATTCAGAAGATGTGCTAACCTTATGTAAGGCAGAAGAAATCTTCATTTGAATGTCACACTCCTAGCATTTTAGCTATATTTCTGGGGGGGGTTAAAAAGACAGTTTGTTTTTGTTTTTAAGATTTATTTATTTATTTATTTGACAGAGAGAGAGAGAGATCACAAGTAGGCAGAGAGGCAGGCAGAGAGAGGGAGCAGCAAGCTCCCCGCTGAGGAAGGAGCCCGATGTGGGGCTCAGTCCCAGGACCCCGAGATCATGACCTGAGCCAAAGGCAGATGCTTACTTAACCCAGTGAGCCACCCAGGCACTGCAAAAACACAGTTCTTAAATCCTCTTCATGCATAACTAAAAGTGAATTAAATACATTATGTTGCTTTCTGAAGCATTCTCCTTCAGATTATGGTTGAGATGTGTACCTGTCAGAACCACCCCTGAACCTGTGAATCCCCTAGTCAGCTCATGTCTGAAAGAGTCTCTTTAACTACAGGAGCTTATTACATCTTAACAGGACTATTTTAGTGACCTCCTAAAGAGTTAGCTAATTCCAGTTTTACTCCAAGCCATTCTCCCTGCTACAAGCACATTTTTTTCTCAAATGAGGAAGTGACCCTCTCTTGCTGATAACCTTTGGAAGAATCTTAGTTGACTAAAAATAAAATCTGAATTCCATTTCATTCCAAATCATAGTCTAAAAACCTCCACAAGCAGGCTCTTACCTACAGTTCAGTGTGTTGAAAAAATTACCCCCCAACCCCCATTTTAGCCTATATTCCAGCCATACTGTCTTAAGCTCCACTTCCTGGTGATACAATGTATCTTTACACCACTATGGTTTTGCCTTTACAACTGAAACTTCCTTAACATCCTTGTTCCATTTATTTTTCTGCTCTGGTCCATCTGAGGAAATATTTCCTATCTCTAAAAACCTGCTGAAATGTTACTATGTACTGTGAAACCTGTCCTATTCCCTATAACAAGATAACTAAATTGTATTCTGTGTTTTAAAAGCCGTTTGTTCATATAATGAAATACTTATGGTATTGCATGAATGTTTCTACACATGTCTACTTCATATGAGCCTCTTTCATAGGTAGGACTGTGTTGTATTCATCTTTGCTTCTTGGTACACTAAGCATGTCAGTCATAGTTATTACTATATTTATAAGCTGTCCCTAAAACACCCTAGTCTACTTTCTCTTCTCTACAAATTTGACTATTCTA